ACTTTTAGGGTCAGCAAGTAGCCTGTTTTCAGACTCGGGAACAGGGACGGATGCTTCAGACGGCTCCTGGCTTGTTTTAAATGTCACTTGCCTACTGCCATCCCGCTCCCTCCGAGGGGGGCTTTTGCCTAGCGCTGAACGCGCGTGGCCGGTTCGCACACCGATGCCTTCAACGCGCACTTGCCAGGGCTGGAGGAGGTGCAGCTGCTCCTCACCCTCCCCACCACTCGCCAGCACGCAGGTCCGGGGACATGGTATAAAGCATAATTTCTCCCTCACTTTTCTTTAGCTTTTTACTCCCAGCAGGGACCAACAGCGAGGCTCATCCTCCACATGAGGCGGAGAGAGATCCCAACTCTTCTTAGGGCAACTTAGCTCAAATTCAGAGGCCCCGGCAGCTGCAGAGCACAGCCGTCGGGGAGGTTCGCTGCCTGCTGGCTCTGAGCAAGGGATGCTCTCGCGCTTTACCGCAGCTGAGTTTTCAGACCGCTGGCAGGATGAGCATCTGTCGGAGCATAAAAGGGAAGTGGGCAGCCTTGGTCTGTGCATTGAGCAGCTGCTGAAGACGTATTTGCCGTGCCAGCTAGGTTTCAGGAGGGATGAGAAAGTGAAGGGAGGTGGCTGTGGCTCGGCCCATCCCACTGGGATTGGGGATCCCCCAACCCTCCTCCTCGAGCCACACAAAACCCATCAGCAGCTATTTCTTTATCTGCCCTGTCACCCTCTCATCACACAGTATGTTGCGCACAGCAAAGCGCTAACAGCAGACTAAACCTACCTTTTAGTTTACTTCTGACCCTGGGCCTTTTTCGGGTGTAATCAAGAGATCTTGGCAACGATCTTTTCTGAGAGTCAAGGATCCAGCTTTTCTCACTTGGACCAGTGCTTGCATTTTCACTGTTACTTTCAGAGAAAAGATGTTTCCTGTAATCAGACTAAAGACACTATTAGCAGTGAGCCCTGCTCAGTCAGTTGGCTCCCACCTTCCACCCAGGAAGCCCCCCAGCCCTTTCCCCTTGTTTACTAGCAAATTATCCCCTTTCTTCCTCCCCACAGTGCAATACCTAAAGTATTTTAAGCTGCAAAACCTGCCAAAACAGCAACTAAACTGTTAACTGTCAAATCAGCAGCGTAAAAAACAGTAAGAGATGGGCACCTGCCCTTTGCCAGTGGGATGTTTAATGTCTTCCTTCCTCATGTCCCCCTCCCTTCTGCTCTGGATTAAAGAGCTTTCAGCAGGGGTTGGGGCGGGGGGGGAAGGAGAGGGAAGCGGGAGGGGAAAAAAAAACCCTAAAATGTCTGAGTTGCAGCCAACAGCTCAGCTAGAAAAAAAAGAAATCAGACATTCACTCACTGCTCTGACAGCCTCAGTGCACCCCGTGCATTACTTTTAGTGGCAGCAAGTAGCCTGTTTTCAGACTCGGGAACAGGGACGGATGCTTCAGACGGCTCCTGGCTTGTTTTAAATGTCACTTGCCTACTGCCATCCCGCTCCCTCCGAGGGGGGCTTTTGCCTAGCGCTGAACGCGCGTGGCCGGTTCGCACACCGATGCCTTCAACGCGCACTTGCCAGGGCTGGAGGAGGTGCAGCTGCTCCTCACCCTCCCCACCACTCGCCAGCACGCAGGTCCGGGGACACACAAAACAGGCTTATTCAAGGGCGTAACCAGCACGTCCTCACCCGCACGCACGGCCGCCGCGTGCTCTAGGGACGGTAAAGCACGCATGACCTACCCGCCTTCTCTCGAGCTTGCTGGAGTCCTGAGTCTTGTTTTCTGTTTCCTGACTCCTGCTAAGGAACCCATAAAGACATGAGTTGGACTAGAGGGAGGTCCGATAATTCATCGCAGCGGCATAGAAGGTGTAAAAATATATGACAGTCGTATAGAAGAGACGCAGCCAAATAGCGGTAGAAGGGGTCTTCGACAGATCAGCAGGATAGCCAAATTATTAATGTGCAGTAATTAGCCAAGTTTTTCTTCTTTGGTTGGTTTTTGAAAGTAACAACCCAGGAATACCCGAAGTTCAGCAACAACAACAAAAATCAGGCTACCTACTTCAAAGTGGCAATTCCCTGGCAGCTTTATCGTAACCAGAGATGGCAAAGGAAAGGCAGGGTATTGACTTTTGAAAAAACGCTCAAAATCAGTTGTATAGGTGCACATACATATATTTATAGGTGTAGGCATTTTTTTGAAGTCAGGTCTTTACTGTCAGACTAGACAGAAGTCATTTTTCTTTCTAGTGACTCTCGCATTCTCAGATACAATTTTAGTACTGATAACATGCGCAGCTACTGTGACAGCTAAGCCAAGAACTATTTTATTAGAAGCGTCACATAGCCTTCTTAATCCTAACTTAAAATAATTTAACTAATGCAATGAATTCTTAAATCAGGTCAACAGAGCCTAAGTGGTGTATGTACAAGTCTATACCTCTGATTTTGTGAGGACGACTTCTGTCCAAGGATCTTTCCTTTGGCTTCAGCGACCTAAAACAGAAGCACAACTTGTCTTAAAGTTTAAGTACCCTACAAAGTAATCTACAAAACTAAAATGCCCGAGGACTCACTCGGGAGGGCTACAGAGGAGCGGACTACAAGCAGTCCAGCATGGAGATTCCCCTTTTAATTGTAAGGGATTTGTTGATTGAAACAGCATCGTAAGTGATAATTGACAAACATTTGTGTTCTCAAGTAGTGCTATTTCTCTTTCCCCTTTATGAATAATGCTCAGGGGAAACCTCATTTAAGCAGCGATAACAACACTAGTGCTAGTGCACTATAAATATACCATGCAACACCTAGACAGATTTTGGACAGGGCTGTTTAAACACTGCTAAGCATGCCACGAAGCAGGTTTTTATGCTGACACCCCGTGGCAGTACTGAGGAGCAGGCGATGCCCAGCTTTTTGACAGAAATTTGGGATGTCCAGTTCAGCACCCACCATCTCCTGGTTAATAGGAAGCACCGATTGCCCAGGGAAGGGGCTGGAAGCTGAAGGGTTTATATGGCAGAGCCACCTTACAAACCAGTTTTCTGCCTCCTGGGAAAGGCTGCACTGGTCAGAGTTTCAGAGCAGGCACAACTGCAAATTTTTGTTTGATTCTCTAACAATCTGCAAACATCAGTCAAGCAGAATTAAAAACAAAACATATGTGACAACTGACTTTAACCAGAGGTTCCCAACATAAAGTGTTGCTGGAAACAGATTTTGGGTCCTCTCTTTTAGCACAACATGGAAGGCACTCAGCACAGCTCTTTCAGTATTCAGTAAAATGAGAACAGATGCTGGCCTTCCATTGCAAAGACATCCCACAGCCTCATCTGAGCAACAGCTCAAATGCCTATTGCAACTAGCTTTATCATACCACAGCCATGACAAAATTCAAGAAGTTATCAACAATTTTGGGGGCAAAACATTTCCATACACCTTACAGAAATAAACAAGAACCTTGGATTGCCAGTTATCTGTGACTTTTGTTACAGCAGCACGTCCACCCTTATTGCATTTCTGCAGTAAGCGATACAACCTGCTCCAAGTTACCACTGTCAGCTGCTGATGTGGGACCTTAGCAGGCTCCTGACAAGTTCTGCCTCAACTTTACCTTTTCATGGCTTGCAGAGTCCGAGTTTTCAAAGTCATAGAAATCGCTCCTGCAAGGCAAGGTACAAGAGACAGTGGCATACCATCATGAACAATCAAGCTATAGAACTTCACTGAGAGCACTGGGTGGGGTGGGGAGGATACTACTTTTAGCATGTATAAACCCTGTTATACAGCAAACACTTAAAGATTTTATATGCCTAAAACTTGAGCTGAAAAAACAGCATCCTAAACAAATACTTGTCGCTTTCCTACTCAGTCTCCGTTATTGTCTTACTTCATTCTCACACCTTATTTCAACCGTATTTTTTTTTATTTTCAGATAAACTTTCAAAAGACATAAGCAAGTCAGCTTATGTATGACTATGTAGCAGACAAATCAGTAATAACAGTATGTGGTAGGTAGGAATCATGAATGCACTGAAAAATGACTTCAGAAATATTTAAAAGAAAAAAAATAATTTAATTTACTTTTGAAAATTCTAGCATTCAATGGTTGCTCTCTAATCACTTCTCTGTATGCATTCAGATTTTGTTTCCCCGCCTTTCAAAATTTAAAATAAAGATTATCCCAATTTCTTTCTCCAAATCTCAACTATTTTTTAAAAGTTAAAAATTAGTGCTCAGCATAATTTAGACTTTCCTTTTCTTCCTAGTAGAGGAAAAATTAAGAATCAGACTCCCTTTCTTTTAAAGCTTCCTAAAGGAAAAGAGAAATACACATTTTTTGATGAAACACTAGAGGGAGCAGAATGATTGAGCTAAGACATCCTTCTCCATCTCTAACTTCTACTCTGCCACTCCTGTTCTACAATCGCTGTGCTGTATGAGCTATTTGATCTGAAGACATAGAACTTATAGCGACGACGTTGTACATGAATTCTTCCATTCTCGTCCACGACCAATACAAAAAACAAAAAGTCATCTAAACTTTTTTTTTTTTTTTTTAAAAAAGAGGCAGTAGACTAAACTAGGACACCCAGGAAAACACTGAAACATTTCAGAGCTTTATCCCTACCAGATATGGCTGCATCTTGCAAGATCACATCCAGAATGCAACCTTTGGAAAGCAAGTACTATTATTTCTTTCCATGGCAAGTAGCAATGGATTTCTTACCTTCTTAAAACAACTCCCTTTAAAAGTGGGAGGTAAAATTGAGCTTTAATATTTTTTTCTATGTTTGTCCAGCTTCAGATTAAAGACCACATTGCATGAGCTGCCGCCAGAGACCCATCTCCCAAAAATCAGAGTGTCCAAGAAGGTCACGGGTTGCAAGATGATGGTCATGTCTGGAAGATGCCACTGCTATCCTTCCCTTGCTGATGCTGCAGCACGGTCCAGGTACCCCTAACAGGCAAAGTTGCTTCGGACCGCTGCAAGCAACTGGGACAGCTGCAGTCTTTGGTGTAGGGGCCATTTGCTTTCCTTCTCAGCAGGATAAATTAAGTTGCACACACAGCTTTGCTGGCAAAGAGTGTAGAGAGTGCACAGGAGGAGGGTGCAACATGCAGGGCCAGAACAAGCTTCCAGGACCAAGGAGAGCGTAAATCACTCCAAAACTCTGGAGCGCCTCTGCCCACAGTGCCACCAACTTTAAAGTGTGAGCACACCGCTGGATGGGGGTAGGGGAGGGCAGCAGATAGAGAAAGAGTCCATCCTGGAAGTCTAGGTCGTGGGACACCAAAGAGCTGAGGCAGTATCAGAACAGCTTAGATACCCACAAATCAAACTGCTACTCATAGCTCTGCATGGCCACGGTCCCCTCATCCTCCAGAGGATCAAGGAAAATAGAAAGGCTAACAGGGCATAGCATTACAAAGGTAAGGGCATTTTTGGCAGATCAGAATTAGCTTCTCCTCAAGTCTTAATTGCAGTGGGGATCCAAACGTCCCACGAGAGATGAGCTGTGAACTGTCTAAATGCAACTCTATAGCTGGCTGCTTGTTGCTTTGATAAAGTTCATACCAGAAGCACTTTTTTCCTCTCCCTCCCGCCAATAGTGCTAGAAATAGTCTAAAAATTGCATGGCGCACCAAACCCAATACGTGCTCAAGCCTTATGTATCATACCTGGCTTCAGTCTTCTGCTTGACCAAACTTGATTTTCTATTTCTCTTTTCCCAGGCATCATCCTTCAAAAGGAGAAAGGAGTTCCAGGATCTCAAACTATGATATGCTAAGTAACATTATTCCTAAAAGCATCATGCTAAAAGCAGAGATAAGGAATATTGGGAAACATCTGGTCTTTTAATCACAACAACCACCTGGCTATAACTATTTCCTGTAGCTCTTTCCTACCAGGAAGTGTGGGAGTCCTGGAGGTAAAATGAGGGGAGAGGGAAGGATACGGAGGAAATGTAACTTAAAAGCATTGAATTAATTATGCAGTGAGCACTGGTTATGCAGCCTTTGAACGGTAAGTCTAGGGGCGAAAAAAAAATCTAAACATAGTACTTGGAAATGTAAACCAAGACATAAGTCTAAAATCCAGGTTCACAGATAAGCTGAGTATCTACCTCATTCATGAAATTAAATTCATTGTTAAATTCAGGAGTTTATTTTCTCTTGTATTCTGCACAGATTATTTTTGTATTTGGACAGAGATTTCAGAGATTTCCAAGTGTTCAAGCAGTCTAAAGAGAGAAATGCAGCTACAGATGTCTTTCTGTTACTTGTGGTTAGTTTACCCAGGTTGCAAGCTCCTGTGCCAGGAGTACAGAGATCTGACCTGAGAGGATCAGGGCTCAGGTTGAAAAACTGAGTAAACGTGGTTGCATATTTCCAAGATCTGCTTCGTTTTAGAAAGCAACTCTTCGCTCTTGGACATTGCACCTAAAATCTTGCAACACACAAGCCTGTCCTGCACAGAGCCAGGCTGGTTACTTACGCACTGTATTCCTGTATCCCGAGCATAGGCAGGTTATATACTGACCAAATTCAGTGGTGCTTGAATTGCCAGCTTTGGCATAGTTAGGCTGCAGGAGACAGTCATTGCCTGTGCAGCACGATCCCAGGGCCAAACAGCACATTACACCAGGTACCACATCACACGGGCTCAGGACACTGCTCACTTGCAGGACTGGGTCAACCCAGCCCAGATGACTCCTGCAACTCCACGAGAGTGCCTAATCCCTGCACCAGACCCCTTCCCTTGGGCGGCCCCGAGACACACGCACCTTCGGTGTCGATTCCTCTATGGGCTCTTCTTCTAGGGGCTTCTCACTGGGGACAACCAGACACATTAGAGGAACACAGGATTAAGGGCCTTTCATTCAAAATCCAGACAGGCAGTTTATGAAGTATTAAGAGGAAAAGAACTTGCACTGATAAGCCTACTAGCATCAGACTGGCAATTTAAGAGGTACATAAAGTAGAAATCTAACAAGTAGCTCTACGCGAGCCCAACTTGTTAACCAAAAGAACTGCCATCCTGCCTAGCTCTGAAGAAAGGTATAATGCCAAGGCGGACCCATATTCACATGATGCTACACAAAAATCGTGACTGTCATTTTTGAACAGCTACATATCTGGGGAGCTCCGAGTACACTGCTGAAGTTAGACTCTGTAATAGAGGTGCATGTTCATCTTTTGTTTGAAATAAGTCACAGATGAGAAGGAAAGGTCACACCAAGCTAGCAGCCAAGCCAGTAACCAAGCATGACTGTTCTGTAACTCTGAAGTGCTGTAACACCAGACAAACCACCCTGCAAGTCAGTGTGGCAAAATTGATTTTTTTTTTTAATTTAATAATTGATAGGGTAATCCTAGAAGTCACATGCATTAAAACCCTGACAGAGAAGAGGGGGTGGAAAGAGTTGCAACTCTTTGTCTTCAAGACACTTACCTAGGCTTAGCTTTCGTCCTTGGAGATGGAGTTTTGGATTTTTTTGCTGAGGGAGGCAAGGAAACTACAGCTTCACCCTCTGGAGGTACTATTAAATTCTTTGTCTATTCTCTTTGGAAGGCCCACAAAAGCAGAGCCTTCGCAGAGCATCACCCAAATAACACTTAAGTGGGTCAGACTTCAGGAACCGAAAGGAGCCGGGCCTGACCTGGGCCTGGGTTAGCATCCTCCATGTCAGTCTGCTGGCTCACTGTAATCATGGTGACACTGGAGTTAACCGTTTTCTGCTTGGAGACATGAAATCATAAACAGAGCATGCATGTAATCAATAAAAAAAAAAGTTTAAGAACTTGAAGAGAGATTTTCAGTGCTAGCCTGTGGCAGCAGCTGGACCACAAATCTTTCATTAGCTATATGTATATATATATATTTATATATGCATACACAGATATGCACACAGACACACACACCCCTGAAACTTTTTATATTTTTATAAAATCTCACTAAAAAGAGAATGCTTCACACTAAAAGCATCGCACCAAAGTACAACTTTTTTTCCTTTTTAAAACTGCTTTGTGAAATTGCAGCACTGGAAGCAAGTATCTAGGAAGCTGACTTCCCACTGATTGAGAGGAAGATGTTGTCAGACCTGGGTACAAATTAATTTTTTAAAAGAAGTTTTAACTACACCTATTGAAAAAAGCAGACTAGAGGGGAAAATGGGTACAAAGACTTTATTTCACCATACACGAAACACTTACTGTTACGGTGTCAGCTAACTGCTCTCTGTGCCGAGAGTCTAGGATGTCTGAGAGGGAGTCTGTGTTTTCAGAGCTGGAAGGGTTTTTCTTCCTCTGTAGATTACTGGACTCCGGTATTACTGCAGAACAACAACCTTAATGAGAATATTTTTGCTGTAACTGAACATCCAGACCTTTCTTTTCTTAAGTACATACATAAAGGCATAACAATATGACTTAATAGGGACAAACTTCTCATGATCATGTTTAATAAAACAAAAACATGAAACATCTCCAAATTACCCAGTGCAGAATTGTAATGCTAAGTAAATGGCATCTTGACCCTACCCATTGAAAGTCCCTCATAGTGTGTGAAGATGTATACATTTATCATCCTGTTGCTATCTCAACTCTTTGCTCAGGAAAGCATAAAACAGTCATTTATGTCTGACTAAAGCAAAGGACCAGTGGGACCTTCCACCATTTCTGGTTCACTGGATTGAATATCAGCTAGGCAGTGCAAAGCATGTTTCACTGGAAACGTATGACCTTCCACCCTTTGTGCTGCGGGACTGCTCTGAGTAGTAATGCAGTCTTGTACCTCCGCGTGTGCTTCACAGATGCTGAAGAAGCAGAGCTTCTCCCTTTCTTACTTTCTCCCGAGCTTCCAGAAGGACATCCTCCTGAGCATCTGGAGGACCTCCATTACAGCTTGTTTTGGGTAATAATTTGGGGGAATGAAAGAACTACTGAACAAGGTACTCTCTCAGACATTGAAGGCTAGAAAAAAATTTAATAACTGTTTAGGGTATTACACAGAATCACAGAATAGTTGGGGTTGCAAGGGACCTCTGGAGGTCACCTCGCTCAACCTACAATCTACCCTAATATTCTCCCAGAGTAATCTGAAATCTACTATAAGTAAAAGAAAAGCAAAAGTTTGCTTCCATCATGGACGTAGAAAGCATGCTACCTAATAAGTGCTCTTCAACTTGTACTTCGTTATCCAAGATGGTGGATAGTAGCAGTGGAGAAAAAAAAAAAAAAAGTTGAGCTCATTGCCTTAGAAAACACAGAAAGATCTCTTAAGCAAGTTACACCAAAGGTTTATCTACACTAAAATACAGTCACATTTTAAACGTTTGCCGTCAGCGTGTATTAAGGAGCCATAGAATTCTACATCATTACGTCCTTGTTCACATTGACTGCAGACATCACACTAATATACGCTCACCACTGTCTGAAGTAAAATTCTATTTTCTAACAAGAAAATATACCAGATTTCAAACAGAAGATACCGCTACACAAAAGTAAGTCACCTCCCCAATAGCTTGATACTGAAATTGAGCTAAAGAAACGTTTCCCTTTTAAGATAAATTTTGATTCTGTCTCTTGCTTGCCTTTGATTCAAAGGAGCTTTTCCTCAAACTGTGGATCGCAACCTTGATAGGGCGCTCAAAACAGGTTAGAGGGAAAAGGAAGAAGAAACTACTTTGTCTTCCCCTATCGCTGGACTTGGACCTTCTTTTGCATAAGGCACAAGCATCACATTGTACCTTTCAGACTTCATGTTCCCTCAACATCCATCATATTCAGATTAAACCAGGCTCCAAGTCTGTCACGCCATCTACACACTGGATTATGTTACCTGCCTGCAGTAGTACAAACTAAATTCAGCCAAAAGATACTAGAGGATAACATCCTGTAGGAGACTATCACAGGCAGCACAGGAAAGGACAGTACCATATGATCTCCTCACAAACAATTCAGTGTGTCCAATCCCTCCAGTCAGCAGGAGGGCAGCCAGCAGGGGAGGCTGCCGAGGGAGGCAGTTCTCCCCTTTGAGACCCTCGTGCCACTACCACAGATCCTCCGAAGCACAGTTTTGTGGCCATTCATTGCCCTGTCCACACGGACGGACTGTGGATGGACGTTTGGCTCCTCCGCTTCCACTTCGGCCGTGGCACCAGAGCTCTCCAGCAGTTCAGCTAGCTTAGCATGCTCTAGTCCCAGTATCTCACACATCCACTCGCCGAGCATGTGGTCAAGAAGCAACAAAATCACTTCCCTGCAGGAAGCCTCGGTACCAGCCGCGTCACTCCAGACACAACTGTTCCTCAGGGGAAGCACAGTAAGCGCCAAGACACAAGCACTGGTGCGTCAGAGGACTAGCGCTCTTCACGATGCTGCTGCTTTCACGGGTGCATCAGAGCAGAGCATCATCTCCCTCTAGAAGCCTCCCACGAGCATCCCCGCAGCACCCCCACACCAAGAGCAACATAGGGGGCAAGAAAGGGGGAGGAGAGCCGCAGGAGGACGCCCCTACAGCAACCGTAGGTGGAGAAACACTATCACATGCTCTTCGTACTTCAGAGAGCAGTCAGCAACCGAGGTTTGCTTTGCCAGGTTGGCCAGCAGCCCGCTGATCCTAGCCTTCGTGAGAGTGACTCCTTGCCTGTGCAACCCTTCAGCTAACGGCCACCCTCCTCTCCCCCAGGATGGAGGGGCTCAGCACCCACCACTAAAGGCAGTTAACAAGCTCACAAGATGGGAATAGCAGAAGACCAAGGGGTGGTCTTGAGGGGGGAGGGCTACTCGTTTGGTTTTACCTCCCTTTTCTAAGTGTGGCTAATGGCAAGCTATTGAGTGAGAGTGAAGACTCTCATTTTAAATGTGATCAAGCTAAATTCCATATTTAAAAAAAAGTGTCACCTGCATCAGTCTGCCTGGCTTGCTCCCCAGCACGGACGGGCTCCTCTTCAGCCACATTTATCTGTTGATGTGAATTAATCCAATGTGAAAACGACCTTAAAAGAGTAGAATCTTTTATTCAATAAAGTCAGCTACTTACTAACATAACTAACAGCTCTTAACTAGCATCTGATTATTTGTAGCCAGTGGTTAACTATTTGGAAATCTCTCTGCTCCTGCAAGGATAAATTAGCTGTGACTATTCTCATGCAAGTTTTTCTGCAAATCCCACGGATTGTGGATGAATTACTATTAAAAAAATAAAAATGCATAAGCAGCTTTCCTTTTGTTTTTCCATTCGTTTGCCTCAATTTGCTCATCTAGTACAATGTAATACTTGGAGAAAAAGCACTGGTTTTGACAGTGTGTTTTAAGTAAAAAATAGTTTATGAAAGAAAAACGTGTACCAAGAGCTTACCATCATTTTTTCATCTCCCAGGACTTTTCTGACTACATCTAAGATTTCAAACTCAGCACTGAAGGATATTTTGATCTTTGTTGCTTCATTTTTGTTGAGAATAGCAGGAATCTTCATGTAAATTTTAACAATCTTTTCCCCACCTTCCTCTGCATTAAAAAAAAAAAAAAAAAAAGCAGTTAAATCTGTTTTAGAGCAAGGCATTCACTCTATTATCCCAAAACCATTCAGGTAGGGTTTCGGTTTGTTTTTAAACCTGAAGACAACATCTTTTACATATTGCCTGTGCATTTCCAGTTACACTGGTCACCCATTTCTTCCTCATTAGGTTTAGAAGATTATGCTATTTCCTAGCACTTCCATAAACTAACCTCTCAACTTGCCCTGATGAAGGGGGCCCTTAAGGTTGCCACCTGTCCCACCCACAGCAGGTTGCAGACCCCCCAGTACAGCACTGTTGCAATCTGTAGCACACAGATTTCCTGCGCTTTCTACAACATGACCAAGTCTTTCTTCCTCATGGAAGAGTCACCTATCACCATTGCAGGATGCAACATGGAAGAAAATCACCTACACGCACAGGAGCCTGATGACATCCAAAAAGCACTCATTGCTTTGCCAGCCCAGCACACATTCAACTGTTGTTTTGGCCCTACTTTTTGGGCACTGAAGCCATTCCTAGGGTACCATCTGGAAAATAAATCTCTGCAGGGCCTGAAACAGCTAGCATGGATCTTCACTAGCACTACTCTGTGGCCACTGCTCAGCCAGTGTAAGAGGCCATCAATGAACCTATTTTCAACGTAATTGTATACTAAATTGGTACAGAAAAAGCTAGTGGTTAAGATCACTCACTTGTAACTACAAAAACAGTGCCATTTCCGTTAGCATGCTGATTTATACTGCATAGCAAAAAACTGAACTAGCACAAGTCTGTGGAGCTACAATCCCAAGCTGATGTCACGCTGTGGAGTTCAGGGCTTCAGGAAACAGCTACTCTTGGCAGCTCCGATCCTGCTGGAGACTGCGAGGTTCAGTCGAAGACAAGACAGACTCTTTCTTTGGGGCTACAGAGGCTGCAGTTTCTCACGCTGAGCCAACCTAACGCCTTACTGTTGCTAAACGAAGGCACTGGTGCTCTCTCGCTCCTGCCACCCCTTCACTTTCCTCTGGGGCTGCCAGTGGCCTTAATCCCACTCCTTCCCTCCACACCTACTGTGGCGATGACCAGATCCAAGCATTTCCCCCTTGCTAACTCAGCAGGTGGCTATCCTCTTTTGCCTTTTTTTTTTTTTTTTGGGGGGGGGGGCATTGCACTAAACAAGCCCACAACAAGGTCCAACAAACACAGCTGGTGCAACGCAAACATTAAAAGCACACAGCTGGGAGAAAGGAAGTGGCCGGAGCTCCTTTTGGTGATGGCGAGATTTGAAATCAGCTCGTTGCGTCTTGTGAAACTAGAGCCAGACAGAGGGTAGCACCGGCTGCGCAGTCTTACCCTTCAGGCTGTAACTACTGACTGCTTCTTTCGACAGCCTCACAGAGTCCCACAGAGCACCCTATAAAAAACAAAATAACCGCAACAGAAGGGTTGAGCTAGCACCAGCCACATCAGACTAATCAAAGCCCACCTGGGCTTTGCTCCCACCTCACTACTGTCTACGTAGAAAGTCACGCTCTGACTCCCAGCGTTGAAATCGATCCAGAACTCCTCCAGCTTCTCGTCCGAGGGCTTCTTCACCTGAGGGAGCACAACAGCCACCGCTGCCATTTCCAGAAAACAAACTCGTTTGGACACCGCTCTATCATCCCCTATTTTCTTTGCAACATGAAGTTGGAACAAGTCGCCCTACACACACCACACAGAAATAAAAGCTGGGAATCAAACTGCAAGTTGCCAGCCTGCCACGGACCCAACGACACCAGCCAGGTCAGACTGTTACTGTACTTCAGCCAACAAGAAGGAAGTAATTCAAGCAACTGCTTATGCGCCTGGTTCAGGGAAGACTCTACGAAGGCTTCTGTATTTCTGAGCACTTCTTATCAGCAGAAGCACTGGAACTAGTTCCCATAAAAGCTCTTCAGCAACGTGGTTTTGATTTGAAACTACTATCGGGAATAGAGTGCCACAAATACAATGCTGACTTAAAAACAAAACAGAAAACACAAAGTAATCTGTAACCACCAAGCAGATCTTTGTCTCGGGCAGCCGGGGAGCAACTCTTCCAGAGGAGTCGGAGTTCCCCTGTCCTGTTTCTTTTAAAAAGATATCTCTTCCTTTACCATGAAGAGAAGGGCTGCTTCTAATCATCTGGCTGATACAAAAGGAAAGTCAACAGCAGTTATTTAGGAGTTGGATGACATAACTAAACAAACTTTCAAACTAGAACAGAAAATCATAGTTTGCACTCAAAAAAAGTAAGTCCTTTTATTAAAAAAAAAAAAAGTGGAGGGGTGGAGAAGAACCCATACACCACACAGAAATTAACCTTACTAACAGTGGTAACACTGTAGGGAATGTGCCACCACGGTAAGAAATATTACCTCATTCATGTCAGCAAAAGCAGATATGCAAGGAAATGAATAGACTCTGGAAGAAAAGCACACTTGCACATGATCCATTCAACATCAGTCAGAATCTGAATTTATGAAAGCTAACATCCTGAGTATAGGTTACTAACTTTATTGTTCAAAAACTTAACAACTGCCTAGAGGCAAACTAAGCTTAGAGAAGCTTATAGAAAATGTCATTTTAGTCACTTAGCAATATCTTGTTTTCACTAATTTTACTTTCAAAGAATCATCACTAAAGTTAAAAAAAATTATTCACATACATGACATAAATCATTTTGCAGAGTACAACCCAAGTCAATCTACAGCTCTAATTTTCCCTCTCTTTCTGTGAGGTTGCAGTAATGACAGCATTAATTTAGATTCTTGGTTCACAGCTTACCTTCTTTCATCCCCAAGCCTTTCATTTAGTTGATTAAGAAATTTTCTGCAGTCCTTCAAGACAAATAACAACTTATCAAAAATCAGTTTACATTTCCTTTGAAACACTTATTTTGCTGGAGATGCATTTCCACTCCAGTTATAAGCTTTTAAATAGTCAGTAAGATGCCAAAGGCCTTCAAACAGAAATCACAAATATATATATATTTATGTTTTAGAAGTAGAACATCTTAGAAATAAGAGCTATTTTAATGATATGCCATTTTATGTCTGCTAGGTTAAAAAAAAAAAAAAATCCCCCTACAACCTCCAGATAACTTCTTGCATTTATAACATCATTTCTGAAGGAACTTCTTGCAAGGACATCCTGGCTGAACTCAAACAACACTAGCCCCTATGCAGACTTGTCAAGTATGTTGTTTTCAAAATAAAGACCCTTACCGTCTCAAATTCTCTATCCTTGATCTCTTTGAAAGCTTCAGCAAGATAATTATCTTCAAACCAGTGGTGAACAAGGTCATCTCTCCATTTTTTTGTCATTAGCCTACAAAGTGCTTCTGAAAGAGCAACCTGAAGGTCATAGTCTATATGATAAACATAAGAAAGGAATAAATATCCCCCTAACATAACAGAGGGTTGGTATTGTTACTATTAATATACTCTCAAAAACAAACCAAAAAATCTTATTAATCAGCTACCTTCTATTTCACCTAGGAAAATAACACTGCGTTATAGTGGAGGGTACAGCCAACTGTTTATTGTAGCCGTCAGAGGGCACGTAGCTACTTCCCCTTATTCAACAGGTTGCAGAGCACTGTTAACTAGGTCACTACGATTAACTCATTTTTCATGTACCACAATAACTATCCAGAGAGTGTTACTGCTAGGAGAAATAAAAAATAAAAAAGGCAATTTAAGAGGCAATAAATCCCTATTGACTGTAGTTTATCCCCATCCTGGTCAAGTAGTCAGTCTTTACTTTAAGATTAACAGCAAGCATAGTTTAGAAGGCATATACATAAAGCTGATATAACTAACTTTCTATTCATATCACAGTTGAGTTTTTTTATTAATTAACACTTAAAACTAAACACAAACAACAGATTGCTATATCTAACAATGTTTAGACTCCCTGATTTTCCTCCTAGAGAAATCAAGTATCTAAAAGAAAGTTATTTAAATTATAATTCCTCTATAACAAGTAAGCAAGTAAAATAACAGTAGAAAACTCTAGCTTCACAGAAATAACCACTGAGCACTTCTTACCACCAACCTCCAGAATACTTCTTGCAAGATCTTTCCTGAAACAACATAATGCAATGAATTAAAGTGAGGGGGAAAAAAAAAAAACCCAAAACACTAAAACAATTTTAATTAATAAACTGGATAGGAGCACACACGCTTCATGATAACGATCACGTGTGAAATACAACAGCAAGGCTAGGGCTTCGCCCATGCCTGCACAATCAGACTCTGCTGCCCAACTGAGCAAACACTACCAGCATGGAGAGCTGGAAAGCTGGTTGCTTCTAACAACTAAATGCCGTCTTCCCTGCAACAAGCACTGCCAGGGGAACACTTACGTGAGTGAACACATCTCTTCGGACAGAGGAAACTTCTTTCTCTCCTCTCGCGGTACACAGTCTAGTATAGAGTTGAGAGTCCTCAAAGCCTTTTTTCCCCCCCCGCCCCGACAGAGGATGGGGCAGAACAGGAAAGGAAATAAGTCGGTAAGATTTTTTCACATTGTTTTATTTTATTTATGCACACTTACGCGTGCAAACATTTTTGTTTTCTTTTCCTACTGTGAATCTTACCTCCTGCCGCAGGGCGCAGCAAACATTTGCTTCTGTCACAAGATGCCCTAATTCAGGTAGAAATAAATTCACCAGCTCTTTCTTCCCTACAAGAACAGCGTGAACAGCTTCTACAACAGCTAGAAGTGAACTGATCCGCATATAAGAGACAGCTGAAGCAGCAACACTTTGTCGCTGAAGGAGTAAAAATATCCCAGTACATGGATTCAGCTTTAAACAAAACAGTCTAATCCTATACAGGAAGGGGAATTGGTGACTTATCTTCAGCTATTTTTACAGAGAAGCTAACTGCTGACCTGGGTGCCTACTTACATAGATACAGAAAGGGGAAGCTACTCACTAACCACAATAGATAAACCAGTAACATACAGGGGGGTTTTTGTTTTGGGTTTTTTGTTTTTTGTTTTTTTTTTTAAAAAGAAAAAGGTCAGCACTCCAACAAATACAGTGCAAACTACCATAGTATTAGCAGAGCGTGTTGGTGCCTGCTCTGCTTCGGGTAGGACAAGCTACAGCGACGAATATGCTCAGGTTACCTAGCACCCAACATGCTGCCTCCTTTTTACATGACTCGTAAATCTAGATCTCTGGGCAAATTACAGTTCCGCACAGGTACTTGGCTCCTTCTGCAGGTGTCTGTTTGCCTAACCCAAGTGACAGAGAGCTGCAGCCAGAGACGAAATCCCAACCCCGAAACCAATGCAAGAAGCAGGTCCCCATGCCTGGCCAGAGTGGCCGAGAAAGCCAGCAGCTCCCTAACCAGATTGGTAGCCGAGAGCTTACAGCAGCTCTCTGAGCCCATTTAAGTTTTTTTTTCCCCCCCCACAGTTTCGCCAAAGCATCAGTTGCAGCAAGTAGATGCAGTCGCAGCCCTTCTTATTGCACACAGCACCCCGAGACAGCGGCATCTCAACTTGCAACCGGTGCTTCAGCACACACAGGCAGATCTCTAGGTCAGGTTAGCTTAAGTTATAGCTGTGTTTGCTGGTAATAACTCGATGCCCTTGGCCCTGGGATAGAGTAGGAGTACTCCCTTACTCCGTTACTATGTTACTCTGCTGAGGTGGTTGCACCTCAGCAAGGAAATAGCATCTGAAGCCACTTCAGGTCAGCGTGCAAGAGCAGGCTGTCCACCTCCAAAGTCCTTTCAGAAGTACCACTTACTCCGAGTGACATACTTGATGCTGATAGTGTAAATAAGGTACTACAGCTAGACATCTTTAGCATATTTAAGACAAACAAACAAACAGGAAAAACAAAACACATTGCAGGGAGGAAGAGGAGGTAGTGAGCAGGAAGGGGAGAAAAGGAGACAGAGTTTGTGCAGAATTAAGAAATGTCTCCCGATACAGCAATTCAGGCTATTGGGGGATGAAAAATAAAAATACTGACCTTCATTACTGCACTTGCAAATCACCTAAAAAGGTAAGTGAAGTCTTCATCAACACAACAACCCCAAACAGCAGCCAAAGCACGTATGTGATTATGCCCCTGCTGTCACACCTCTCCAAGGCTAAAATAATAAAATGTTGCTGTACCCAAGGCAAGGATGGCAGTGCCACTCGCTACAGGTATGCCACACACAGCGGCCCCCCTCATACAGGTTGGCTTTATGCAGGGAACATAAGAGCAAAGCACCCACTTCCCTTCCAGGGATTTTGGTAGCACTCAAGCAGAGCGCCCTCAGATTCCTTCAAAAACCCACATCATGGCATCGCTTCATTGTTTTTATTATACATATGGGCCTGTGTAAAAATATGTTTTATTTTTAAAACACTGTAGTACTAGATAACATATGGACATCTGAAAAGTATTAAAGCCCTTCAGAGCTTTTTTTTTTTTTTTAAGCTGTCATTCTCCACAGTAAAAGCACATAGAAGAGATGGGGCAGGAAGAAACAGGAATCAAATTTGGGCAAATAAGTACCTTATAAAACATTTTATATAATTTCAATTTAGCTCGTAGATAAACAAGAAAATGTGGTTTTCTCAGATGTTTGCATTGACGTTCTCCTAGAAGTTAAGCCCGAGTCATGAATTCCCAGTGGGTCGCAAGTATTCGAGCAGACCCTGATGCACAGGCTGACACACAGTTCCACTAAGCAGAGATATTTAGTCGGACATACGCTAACGCACACATATCAGAAAGTTTATAGCGCTACAGACAATAGGATTTCTTAACAGACTGGGGGAAAGAAGCAAAAAGCTTTCTTCCCATTGCAAATTTTCTATCACTGGGCCTCCAGCACCTACTTCAGAAAGAAATCTAAAGGAAAACTATAAGCTGTTCAGATCGTTCTTTAAACGTTAACTAGCAATCTTGAACAAGGTAGGAACAGATACCCAGAGCCTCCTCAGCAGAGCCGTTTGCACATAACCTGTAACTCAGCCTCTGAAACACTGGCATATCTTATTTGTGTTTTTAAACAAGGGCTTCAATACAAAAGGTTTCGTTTAAGCAACACATCAGAACTTCTTGAGTGTTTTCTTATACAATAAAGGCAACTCTTCTCCCCCTCTAATACACATACATACCAACGCACAGTCAAAGAAGTCTTCAAGAAGCATCATCAAAGATCTGTTTTCATTTGGGTCTATAAGGATCACAAACGCTCTTGTTCTTTCAAACCAAGATACCATGTAAAAATTGAAAGAATCAGTTAAAATCTGGCAAAAAGTGCTAATAATCCTTAAACTAAATGCATCCTCAGTAAACTTTATGCAGACATGTGAGGTTTTCTGATCCCTGACCTTGGCAGTACCAGACCATGCCGAAGGCCTCGTGGCATTACAGGGCTTGAAGGCTGCCAGTGGCAGGGGGAACCTCCCCCACCCCCAGCCCTGCACCCAGGCAGCAGGTCTTCTTCCTCCCCAGCCCATCTGTCCTCCTCCTCCCTGCTCCCCCAGCACCCACCCCCAGGGCCTCTTTGGTGCAGCAGGCTCTGCTGGTGCCATCACAGCAGCCAGAGCTTTCTCAAGGGGGTAAATTAAGAGCGAGAGAAAGTTTAAGAGATTTGTCAAGCTTTTTCATGATCTATTTTATGAGTGCATGTTGCTAAACACATATTCATAAACATTATACGTGGTGCGACACACAAGTGCATTTCTACACTACAAGTAATATATTAACTGAAATCAATATAGTGCCAGCAAGAAAATAAAACACAGTTAGAGATTAAATGTATTTATGAAGGCGCCTTCTTAGATAAGTAGCATAATAAAGAGTATGTCAGCTTATAAATTTGCAAAAGCACACCAATCTTCCCATGAATTTTATTACCATAATTGTGTTTTTGCTGCGGCACTTAAAAGATATTCAGAACTTTCATGTTATTTCATAGATGGGACTCGCTTAAACTCATCCTCTCCTTGCTTCCGTTGGCAGCTTAAAAAATCCACAAACATGAGTCCAATGATGACCATAATCACAACGTTAGCTTTTGTACTGTAGGCAATGCAATGAAAATAAAAAATAGTTCCTTCACCAAGCCCATGACATACATGAAAAAAAAATATTTTGCTTATGCTTGGCTAAAAAGTCATACTCTAATGCTTACTCCCTTTGAGTTCCTCCCCCTCCCCAATGTAAACAACCTTAAATTACATTAGTAACTCAAATACCGTATCATACTCATCTTTTGTACCAGCCCTTGCTCAATAAATAAGCTTTCCCCTTCCTGAAGATCACTCTTAAAGTAGAGCTGAATGCATTTCAACAACAGTGAAACATTCTGGAATTCATTCTTGTCCAACTCCTGTAAAAATATATTTTTGCCACGCTTCATTAGTTGTCTAATATGCATCTAATAAGCAGGTGTTAAGATGGTTACGCTGAACTGTGGTACTCACCTTTCTCAATACTTTGTCAAGTTGGTTAAAGAGAGATTCGCTGTATTTTTGGGGAGGTTCAATTTCTTTCTCTTGAAGCAGTTCATTTATTTTCTGAAACCCCTTCCCCTTAAAAGCATCAGTTAGAAGCGATTCGAGCTGTGGGGAGGGGAACAAACAAGTGTTAGGGCAGTCACTCCAGAGGCTAAAATAGGCGAGCATTTGAATTGTTGCAGCATATATCAGAAACCGCTTGTAATGAGATGTGAAAAAGGGTGAGGATTAGAAAGCTTTTTTGGTTGTCTGCTTTTCTTCATTTGTTTTTCTACTTTTATTTTGCTGTTATACCTGAAGGTGAAACATTGGTCTTAGTTTCAAAAAGAGACTGGTGACTACAGAGACTTCACAGCTGAATTACATTAAAGGTTTCAATTAAAGAAATAAACCAACAGGACCAAAGGAGTCACTTTCAATTCTTATCCTGTCTCACAACTCCTACAAACATTTATTCCTATTTTCTAAAGAAAAGATAAAGTTATCTGCTTTACTTAAAATGTTACATTAAATTATTAAGAACTCTAGGTCGTGTCACTTACTATTTAAGAATGTATTTTTTTAAATATAAACTTTTAAAAACGCACACTATCGTTGCCATAACCCTTAAGTCAGCGGCTCCTATGGTTATACTGAAATCCAAATGTACTAGATATTTGATACCATGATAGAAATAGATCCACAAAAGATCACATCCCAAAAATAGCTCTTTGCAATATGAAGCCAAACCTAAAGATTTATTAAAGAAATATTTACATAGTCTTCTGCTCTGGCAGCCATGGTGTCATGTACCTCTCTCTTCCATTCTTCACGTTTTTCTTCCCTTAAAAGGAAAGGGGGGAGAAATACAAGCAAAAAGACTTTTTTTCGGGGGGGGGGGGGGGGAGCAGAGGAGCTGAAAAAAAGCAAAGACCGTTTACTTATCCAGTCTTTCATGAAGCGCTTCCTTTATTTTCAGGCTAAACTTTCAAGACTAGGTCGGGACTTCCAAGCCGGGTTTTTAGGCAGAGGCCGAGGTAGGGCGCTGCGCGGAGGGCGGCCCCGGCCCCGGCCCCATCGCGCCGCAGCAGCTGGGAAACGCCGCTTCCCCCGGGAATCACCGACCCGGCACCGGGGGATGCAAAAACACGAACAACACCGCGCTAGCCAACCGGCAGCTACAGACTAAAACAAAAGCCTTATTACCTGTTACCGTTACCCCTTTTTTTGCTGGACTAGCAAAACAGGCAGCCCCACCTCAGGCCCGGCGGGAGCTGCACGGGAAAATCCTGGGCGGCGGCTGCGGCCCCCCCCGCAGAAAATGGGCAAAACGGTCCCACCTGTGCAACGGGCATTTAATCAACGCCCAGGTGATGCTGCTCCCCACCTCGGCCGAGCAGATGGCTGCGAGAGAGGAGCTCAGCGCCTCGGTGGGGGTTGTTTCCTATCCCCCCACTCCCCGACGGCAGTCTGTGTCTCTTTTCCACAAACGCTTCGGTTTTTTGCAGGTTGTTTTCTATTTTGCAAAGTTAAAGGCATAAGGAGAGATGCTCTTTCACTGAGGTGAAGGTCCGGGAAATTTCCAGGGGGGAATAAAAGGGGTGTGAAGCGACAGAGATGACCTTTGGGAAGGGTGGGCTCGTTTAAAGATCGCAGGAGCTCGGTGTATTTAGCGGCTCCATCTCTGTAATGCTACAGGTATTCACTTCTTTCGGTCTGCTTCCGAGAGCTACGAGCGAGTTTTTTTCTTCAGAAGGCACATCAGCCATTTCCCCACAAAAAGTTACCTGCGGTTTTCCGGCAAAACGAAACGCACCGCTCACTATAACGTTGCTGACTCTTGGCTGCGTGTCTAACGTTATGTCCCACCGCACGGCGCGTAGGGAGAAGGCGCTCAAAAACGCCGAGGATTTAACCCGTTTACACCTAAACCTTCAGGGAGCAGAGAGCATTGAACGCACAGCGCGGTATCTGTGCGCTTCCTCTGACTGCCTTGAAGGTCTCCCCAGCCTGGAGCCATGCTTCCGACACCCAGCCTTAGCGCCCTGAGCGGCCTCAGCTGCGCG